ATATCACCAGGCAATCCTCAGGACCACTTCCAGCTTGGACCTGCTGTGATTTAAAGGAAAAACAGAACAAAAGATACTGCCCAGGATGTGGACCAGAGAAGGAAGAAAACTGGAATGAAAAGATAAAACAGAGAAGATCGAAACAGCAGGTAAGAGATATCTGACCAACAGACGTTCACTTCAGGAAAGTCAGAGCGGGAAATAAACCAAAACAGGATGGGAAGGAGGGACATATCGAAGAAATAAAAATTCCAGATCTGAAGGACACACATGTTTATGTGGAAATAAGTGTGAATCCGCAGCACCCAGACCGCACCAGTTTAGAACATCGGGGCCGAGGGGAAGAGCCCACTGCCTCCCAAGGCCACGGGGTGGGGGGGACACAGGCACCCAATGCCGTTCGGACAAGACTGCCATCGAATGTTTCACCGTCAACAGCAGATGACACAGCACACTCAAGCAATAAATATCTTCAAACTCTGAAGAAAAAAACAAATGTTTTGAACCTAGAATTCCATACAAAAGCAAAATATCAATCAAATGTGACAGAAGAATAAAGATATTTTCCGACTTGCAAAAAAATGCACAAAGAACAAAAGAATCTGGATGACTCCCTGCATCCTGGAAAAACCTTCCCCTTGAAGGGAAACACTTACTGAGCACCAAGCAGACGCACGGCTCTTTTGGAGAAAGTGGTGTGGACAGACAGACAGACAGACACACCTACAAAGCACAGAGGCTTAGATCCTAAGGGTCGAGGCACCTCGTGTCGATGTCTCCGTCCTCTCCCGTCCGGGTCTTGTTGCAGAAGTCACAGACGGCTCTCCAGAGGGATTCTAGAAAGGGGAGGGGTTTTAAGACAAAGACTTGCTGAAGGGTATACTGAGGCCATCCCTGCAGAGGAGTAATCTCCTAATTTCCTTCCATGTTGTTCCTATTTAAAAAATAAAAAAAAAACACACAATCAAATAAACGCCCTCCCTGCCCTAGTATCTTCCTTTCCTTCCTCCACTGGGCAAGAAGAATCTGACCTTGGCTCCCAGGAGAGCACTGCTGGGAAGCTCACCGTCATGTCCCACCCTCCAGGAGGGAAAGAGGATCTGGGTGAGCAGACAGGACGGGCGTGGGAAGCCTGCTTATACAATGGCTTTTTGAAACTGGCCCTGCTCTGACCCGTGTCTGCATGGGTCCCAGTAAACATTCAGACACCTGGAGCCGTTTGCAGAACATCCACGTGCAATCACAAACACGATCGCGTGGGCACGCAGACCTGCGCAGCCTCGAGCTGCTCTCTGCAGCTGCACAGGCGCCAGCCCTGGCACATACAGAACTGCGGAGCCAGAGGAAGCAGACAGCGTAACCGTAGGCCCACAGACCTGCTCATCGTACACAGAATCAGGCGGCCAAATGCAGTCACGAAGTAGCCCTGAGGTTCCAGGGTGACCGTCATTCACATACCCCTGGTCACGGAGGCTCAGAGCACCACGACAGCTCCTGGGACCCGTCACACACTCTCTCTGTGCCCGTTCACGCACACCAGTCTCACCCAATTCCCTCACCGATCCCCAAATCACACCTTCCTGCACAGCCTGGGGGGCCCACGGCCTCGCCCCTTCACACACGTGGCTGCACTCACGTGAGCTCTCGACGGGTCACAGCAGGGAAGTGCCACCCCAGAGGGGCACATCCAGAGGCCCATGGTCCTCCTGCCTCAACGGCACCGGTGTGCAGTCAGTGATGGTGACGCACAACCACAGCCTCACACACGCCACGTTCTCTCACACAGTGTGACTCACGCTCACAGTCACACACAGGAGGACAGATCTACAGACCCTCGAGCCTGGACCCCAGCCCCACGTGTCCCCTGGGGCCTCCTTACATCACGGGAGGGAACAGCAGCAGGGGGCAGGGGGCAGGGGGCAGCCTGTCCCCAGGGAGTCCAGGAGGGAGTTAGCGGCCACACTTACAGGCTTTGGGGCCTGGGGAGCGCCTTACCTTCTCTCCAGAGGCGACACCCCCCTTGCCCTGGCCTTCATCCCTGGGGCAGGAGGCAGCTCGGTTCCCAGGCTTGTTACCCTTCCTCTCTAGGGCCCAATTTGATGGGGAGGGGTAGCTGGTGCGTTTTCAATTTGGGACATTTAGCAGCAAAGCTGTTGCCCCTCAGGGCTTGTGAAGGCAGGAAAGAGAAAGAGCCAACTCTGACAGAGTGGCTGGGGGCAGGGAAGCTCAGGGTCTGTAGCAGTAGTTTCTGGGGCCAGCCCTCCAGTCCCCTCTGCTTTTGCTGGCTTCCTGCAAGAAGGGTAGGGATGTGGGAGGGATTGTGCCTTGGGTGACAGGGCAATAGATATGCCTGTGTGACCGTGACTCTGTATGTGACTGGGACTGCATGTAAGGTTGTATACTTGGGTGTAGAGAGAGTGACTGTGTCGCTGTACAACCAAACATGTCTGAGCATTTCTCTGTGCATGAATGCCCCACCAGGCGCCTGGGTCTGCGGTGGAGGAGACACTGCTGGGTGTGTATCGTGGGGTTGGGGCGCTGGGGCTGCGTGTAGCATTGCAGGTGGGAGTGGCTTTGCCCGACTCACTGTCAGAACAAGCAAGAAGGCTGATTTTGAACATACGGACTTTTCAATGATTCCCTATTGCCTACTGACTCAACTCCATTCCGGCATTTGATGTCTAACCTCTGGGCTGTTGTCCCCAGTCCCAGGTCCTCCATCTTCACACTTCCCTCCCCCTCGTTCCCTCTCGAGCCAGTTACGTGGGTTTCCTGAGACTCTCCTGCACACGCTGAGCTCATTTGGCCTCCGTGCCTTCGTGTACGTTGTCCTTTGCCCATGGATGCCCCTTTCCCTCCATGCCCACCCGCGCTGCAGAGCCCGAGCGCCCCAATTGGAACCCCATCTTCTCTGCCCGGACGGCTTTTGTCTTCACTGCCTGTCTCAGTGGACAGGGAAATGCTGGTCAGGATTGGCCTCATCTCAGCTATAGCTGGGAGAACTAGAAAGAGGGATGAGGCTGGAGCTGACGGTTTTTTAAAAAAGATTTTACTTATTTGTTTTCATACAGAAGGGATGGGGAGGAGAAAGGGAGAGAAACAATGTGAGAGAGAAACATGGATCGGTTGCCTCTCATATGTGCCCCGACCTGGGGTGGAGTCTGTGACCCAGGCACCTGCCCTGACTGGGAATTGTACCCACAACCTTTCTCTTTGTGGGGCGACGCCCAGCCAACTGAGCCACACTGGTCAGAGCTGGAGCTGACGTTGGACTCTGGCCATGCTCCGCCTCCCCTTGGAAATGCCTTCAGTCTCACCCAGGGTCCATTCCTGTCCTGCGTGGGAGGGCTTCTCAGGCAGAATGCAGTGCCGTGGGCCCACGAGTGACTGAGTCAGAGAGACAATGAAAATCTGTCCAAATTGCGAACTGGGATGGATGGAAGCCCCCAGGGCACTGGGTCTGAAAGGCCCAGGGCGACTCTGGCTTGGCGTACTGTGGTCCTCTTTATCCAAGAGGTCAGGGCTGTGACAGTTGCTCTCCTAACCCCAATTCTGCCTCTGGATGTTGTTACCTGGACACAAAGCGGTTTACCCTACCTGACCCCATGCTAATGTAAGCATTCTCATAACTCTGAAACTCAAGTCCACTGGGCCAACTGCTACCCTTTAGCTTTAAGAAATATTATCCATTATCCATACTTTTAAATAATTCTTTAATTAAGTCTCCAAACATGTTGGTTTGATACTTAAAAAATGCTCTTTGTGTGCCTAATTCTCATCTGGTTCTGAACTAGGGTAACTATCATAATAACTAGACTCTGACTTAAATTTATCACAGACATTACCCACACACCAACTTAACTTAAGCCCAGTAGAACTCTAACACAAACTAATAACTTAAATTTAACGGAGCAATAAAAATGAAACCTGAACTCTAATCTTAATGAGTCCTGCACTCTAACACTAATCCTAAAATATTTCTGATACGAGTTCAAGTTTATCCAAACTCTGACTCCTAAATGTGTCCCAAATCTACTCATTAAAATCAGCCCAAATCCTAAAATTTACATAATTTTAATAGAATCCTAAATGTTCCCAATTGCTTTTATTTTTAATTTTTTTTTATTTATTGACTTGAGAAGTGGAGGGTGGGGGGAGAGACAGACAGAGAGACACTGATTTATTGTCCCACTTGCTCGCGTGCATTCATCGGTTGTTTCTTACCTGTGCCTCAACCAGAGACCCCGGGGCATAGCTGGAGGACACTCCAACTAACTGAGCTAGTGGGCCAGAGCCTCCCAATTGCTATTATATTCCAGACCTAACCCTGGCTCTACCCTAACCCTAACCTTAGTCGTAGCCATAACGTGAACCCTAATCCCAACCCTGTTCTAACTATACTGATAAATCTGATCTTTCCCTGACCTCCGCTGTAGGCCTGGACTAATCCAACCTTGACCTGACTGGGTGCTGTTCAGCCACTTCCCTGAGAGATGCAAGACACAGGTCAGTAGGGAGGGGTCTTGGCCTCACAAGTTACTCCCACTCTTTGGCATGAGTGGGTTCTGGAGAGGATCTCTTGGGGTCAAGGAGAGCAGGAACGGACTCACTGGTCATGAAGAACCTTAAAAAGACAAGAACCTAGAAACACCTGCAGTCAGCCCAGCTCTTAAATGGTATTTCTTGGAATCAGCCTCTTACAAGAACAGTGGCAAATAAACCCATGTTACTGACCTGGTAACACCGGCGAGCTTTTGAACGGTCAGCTCAGGAACAGCATTAACCTGATTTGGTTCTGGCCCTGGGTCCAGCCCTAGATCACCCCTAGGTTCCTGCCTCCCTTCTGCAAGCTTCCTTTTCTCCCCCTTTTCAGTCCCTCACATAATGGCAAGGGATACCCAAGCCAGAGGAACATCTACCTTTACCCACAGTGCAAGGGCAAGAAAGTGTCCTCTGCATCTCTGCATAGTCAGCCCCAAACAGCATCTTCAGACCCGTCTCTAGTGCCCCTGCCCAGGACAGCAGGATCGGCTCCAGGTCCTCCGGAGGGCGGCCTTGACCTCCTTGTTGCGAAGGCTGTAAATGAGTGGGTTGAGAGCTGGAATGACAAGGGTGTAGAACACAGATGCCATCTTGTCAGTGTCCAGGGCATAGCTGGAGCTGGGACGCAGGTACATGAAAATGAGGGTCCCATACAGAATGAACACGGCGGTGAGGTGGGAGCCACAGGTGGAAGCTGCTTGCCGACGGCCCTCAGCCGAGCGCATGCGGATCACAGCCCCAGCAATGAATCCGTAAGACACGACAATCGCCAGCATTGTGGTCATCTGGATGAAGCCACAGACGGCGAAGAGGAGGAGTTCATTGAGGCTGGTGTCATCACACGAGATGGCCAGCAGTGGAGGGATATCGCAGAAGAAGCTGTTGACCTCCCGGGAGCTGCAGAAGCTCAGGCGGAAGGTGAAGGTCGTGTGGATAAAGGCACTCACTGCGCCACCCATGCCTGATGCTCCCAGCAAGGTCAGGCATAGACGCCGCGACATGGCCGTTCGGTAGAGGAGAGGGTTCCCGATGGCCACGTAGCGGTCATAGGCCATGGCAGCCAACAGGCAGCACTCTGCATCAGCCAGCCCTGAAAATGCGAACATCTGGAGGACACAGGCTGTGTAAGGGATGGTGGCATGGGGCAGCAGCAGGTCCACTAGCATCTTGGGGGCGATGGCTGAGGAGTAGCAGGCATCCAGCAGGGAGAGGTTGGCCAGGAAGAAGTACATAGGCGTGTGGAGACGGGCATCCCCGCGGATCAGCAGCACCATGCCCACATTCCCCATCAGGCTCACCAGGTAGACGGGCAGGAAGACCAGGAAGAGGGTCAGGCGCAGGTCCCAGCGGTCTGTGATGCCCAGGAGGATGAACTCAGCAGGGACCACCCGGGCCCTGGTGACGTTCTCTGGAGTCATCCTGCAGGACAGAGACTGAGGAGAGACAAAGCAAGAGGGTGATGGAAGAAAGGTCATGATCACCTTGGAAGAGAAAGCACTTTGCTTTGGGAATCCGCTGCACTTGGATTTCCGTCTTAACCATGTAATAACGTCGTGTGACCTTGGACAAGCAACATAACCTCCCAAAGCTTTGTTTCTGATTCTGAGACATCACACAATCTAACATTCACAAGTGTAGGAGTCTTGTCTGTCTAATTCACCTTTGTATTCACAGTTCTGAGAACATTGCCTGGCACATAGTAGGTGCTTGATATAGATGTGTTAAATGAGTGAATGATGAATGGGATGACAGTGTCTGGCCAAGGACTGAAAGTCCCATGACCACATACACATTCTCCCCTCCAGTTTCCCGAGGGGGAAGAGAGACACTGGGATGGGCAGAAAGAGTCTGCTGCTCTAAAGGGTAACGCCTGTGCTCTTGATGTTTGCTGGGGGGGACGTCTTTCACGGGAGCAGGACCGGGGAAAGGAGAGCACAGCCGTGGCTGTGGCTGGTATCTGAGGGAGAGTGTAAGGAGTGGAAAGAACAGATGTGAATGTGTTCCTGGACCACACTCTTCTCTCTGAGCCTCAATTTTCTCATTTGTGTTAGAAGAAAGAAAAAGCTGCAAGGATTCAATGAAATAGTGTGCAAAATGCATCTCCCGCAGGGCCTGACACATAGTTGGCATTTCACAAGGGTCCAGTGAGTTAGGCTGCATTGGGCTAGGTGTCTTGGCTCAATCCTGGAAGGAAGCAACTTTAAGGCTATCAAAAGCAGTGTAACTTCCAGAACTTGGAATGTCGCTTCACACCCCTGGGCTTTTTACACTTGCTGCCTCTGCCTAGGGCCCATTTCCCCTTTTTGTGTTTGACAGAAACTATCTCTGACGTGCAGACTTCCCTGATGCATGCAAAGGAAACTCAACCTTCCCCTGCTGCACTGGAACTCACATCCATCACAGCCCTTCAACAGTCTATGGCACATATTTTTTTGTGTGCGCCTCTCCTGTGGGCTCTGAGCTCCTTGGTTCAATATTCACTCAACAAACATTCATTGAGCACTACTATGCATTATAGAATGGCTCTGTGATTCATGTTTGTACCTCTAGGGTCTGGTCTACAATCAGTACTCAACAAATACCAGTTGAGTGTATAAAACAGTGAACAGAATCTGAACACTAGCAGCATGTAGACTTGGGTTTGAGCTCAGGTTCCATCCTTCAGGGTGGGGCAAAAGTAGGTTTATGGTTGTGAACACACAAAACAGAGTTTATTCATGTATTATTACGTATTAATTATTGTATTATTTTTCTGTATGAGCAGCTGTAAACCTTCTTTTGCCCCACCCTATACTAGCACTCTGCTGGAGGGTCCTATGAGGCGATAGGTGTGTGCAGCACAGGGCCTGGAGCTGAGTACTGTATGTTTTTCCCCCTCTCTTCGTGAGAAGTTGAGATGTTTGGGACCTACTGTGCCTGGTGAAGATGATGAAGATGAAGGTCTCCCTACGGAACACAGCTGGGGTGAAAAAAATTGACAGTGTTGGTGAGGCTGTGCTGGTGGAAATGTAAACCGGGACTTTGGAGGACGGTTTGGCAGTTACTCCCCCTAACTGTGCACACCCCAGTGTCTCAGTCTGCCGGGGGTGCTGCGACAGCGCACCGTGGGCTGGGAGGGGTCAACAGTGGACAGGTATCTCTTGCAGCTCTGGGGGCTGGGATCAAGTCTGAGATCAAGGTCCCAGCAGGGCTGGGTTCTGGTGAAGGCCCACTTTCTGACTTGCTGGTGGCTGCCTTCTTGCTGTATTCCCACTTGGCAGAGAGAGTCAGAGAGCAAGCCATCTGGTCTCTTCTTACTCGGGCACTAATCTCACCATGAAGCCCCCACCCTTGTGACTGCATGACCACTCAATTACCTGCCAAAGGCCCCACTTCCAGGTACCGTCACATTGGGGGTTAGGACTCAAGACATGAATTTAGGGGGCAGGGCAGAAACACTCAGTTCCTGACACCTAGTAATTTTACTTCTTGGTGTTTACATTTGAAAACTCTCACATACACACACAAGGAGATACACACAAGGGTGCACGCACCCCTCACCTGCTTGTAATAGCCAAACGTTAGCCACACCTAAATGTTTAGTAAGGGTTCACGGGAGTTAAACAGGAATGGATTCAACTTATATGGATGCATAGGGATAAATCTCAAAAACAAATTGAGATAAAAACATAATTTGCAGAAAAATATACAGATTGATGAAAAAATACAACATTGTAATATGTTTTTATGTATAGGTACAACACATGGCTGGTTGTTCCAGCCAAAGGTAGGGCGCCTGCTAATAGGCTCCAGGGTTTCATCATCTTTGCCCATGCCCACGTCCAGAGTTGATCCTTCTTACCTGTTAAGACTCTGCTCAGGTCATTCTTCTAGGAAGCTCTACCTGAACACCGCACCACCCAACCTTTCAGGCCGGAACCTGGCTTACTGGGCTCTGTGTTATAGCCCCACTCCTGTTTCATTATTACCTTTCTAAGTGTGTCCCTCACCTAATGGAGCGTTTGGGGCCATGCCTAATTCTTCCCTCTGTCCTTGGGAATACAGGACGTTAGGGATCTTCCCCTCCTCCTTGGTGGGGTCACTGGGAGAGGGCAGAGGGCCTCCAGAGGAAGAGAAAAACGTGGGGTTCCAGCTGCACCCAGAACCCAGTTGGTGGCAACCCCTACTGTGTTTCTGTTTGTCCACACGGAAAGCCATCATTACTCACCTTCACAGGAGTGAGGAGTGGAGCCGCTTCGAGCGCCTCTCCATTGCTCCATCTGTGAAACGGGAACAGTGAGACTTCAGGGCCTTTAAATTGCTTTGAAGATTTTGGGTGCAAGGATCCCCAAACTTCAGTTAAGTAGCTGTCAGTGAGTGAGTGAGTGCACATGCGCAAAATGTGTACAGTTAACTCTCCACTGATTTCTCTGTTTCCTTATTGCCCGCAAGGAGCAATCCTGATATTCTAGGGTGTCTTTCCTTGAAGGTAAGAAGACCGAGTTCCAAAGAAGGAAGAGCTTGTTCCAAGATGTACAGCTACAAAGGGATAGAGCTCAGATTCAGCTCCAAGCCGAATTCTCTTTGTTTCTAAGCAAACACCCTATTTTAGAGCTTTCCACAGAGACCAAGCTTGTTGTTGCCCCTGCCTTGCCTCGGTCCTCTCATCTTTGGATTGAGAAAAACAGACCCGATCAGTGGTTTCCAGTCTACTCTATAGACTTCTGTCAATAGAACTACCTGTGGAGCTTCGTAAAAAAGTATTTGGTCATGCACAGTGGCCAGAAATTCTTATTCAGTAGGCCTAGAGCAGAGCTCAGAAATCTGTACCTTCAAAAATCTTCCAAGTGATTCTGATAAGCAGCTTAATTCGAGACTCCGAGCGGCAGCACTTCTCCATCTTCAGTGTGCACAGGAACCACCTCGGGCTCTGGTTAAATGCAGATCCTGTCTCAGAAGGACTGGGGAGGGGCCCGAGCGTCTGCATTTCTAACAAACCCCTAGGTGATGCTGAAGCTGCTGGTTGGGCACCACAGTTTGAGCAGCAAGAGCCTAGGTCAAATTGAACAGCGTTTCCAGCTCTGACATCTTAGGTTTCTAGCTTTCTGGAGGGTTCTCTTAGCTTCTTCCTGCTAGCTCCTCTCTCTCTGCTAAAACCTTCGTCTGACTCAGCCTTTCTCTCCCAGCTCCACTGTACTCATGAGCACATGTAAGTCTAGTGAGGCTGGCCTGGCATTTCTCAATATGTTGCTTGCTCATTTCTTATCGAGTTTATATTCTTAACTCATTCTTCCCCAGCACACAGACATTGGATATATCTTGGTCCAGACACCAGCCGCTGTCACCATGATGGTGTGTGGTTATTGGGTTGGTTGGACATACCTAGAAGGTGGAGGTGGGTGGGGAGTTTTTCTGGCAGAGTAGCTTCAGGCAAGCCTTTCGGGGGAGATAATAAGATCATGCCCTGATGCAGAAGTAGGAACAGAGGTTCTTACACTCTTCTTGGGCCCTGAGGGAATAGCCTCTTTCTGTTTTCCTCCTGACTCCTCCTTCCCTCCCCTCTCTCCTGGACTCCATAGAGACTCTTGCTCCACATCCTTTGGGGACTCCGTGACAGCTAGTGGCAGGGGAATGTCAGGGATGACTCACTCGGTGGTGCCTGGAGAGGATGCAGAAGCTTGGCTGAGTGGGTCCCCAGGTTCGCTTGGGAAAGACAGTCATGCACCTTGATGAGAGGAGTCCCTTTGGCTCACATTCCCCACCCCCATTCTTTGGGACTCAGTATTTTTGTTATGCTTTATGATCTTCTACAGAAACACATGTTCTTCTTGTGGTTTTCCTAATCCTTCACATTGTTACTCTTGCCTGACATGTCCAGCCTGTCCCTTATCTGGAGAACTCCCCCTTTTTGTTGCAGCACCCACTCAGATGTCACCTTCTGCTTGAAGCCTTCCTGCCTCTACCGCAGAGCCACTCTCTCCCTCTGCGCATCTTTTAGATGCGTATTACGTACACAGCATGAATCCAGCACGGGCAAGGAAACACGATTGCGATTGTGTCTGATGCTGCAGCAGACTGGGAGCAAGCTGAGGCCAGGGCCAGACATGAAGTCAGCACTCAGGAAATGAAATTAGAGCCCTTGCTGGGGGGCGGGGGGCAGGCGTGGCTGAGTTTTTAAAGCTCCTAGGATTGAAAACCACTTGGGACGTCCACCTAGCATTGAGAAACACCCCCAAAAAGATGGGAATGGGGTGACCCTGCAGTTAGGGATGAACGGCTCAGCCTGTGGGGAGTAGATGGTTATGGGGTGGGAAGCTGCAACGTGGAATCGCCTCATTTCTACAGTGCATCTTATGGCTAACTTGACATTCATGTTAGCAGAGTGTTCATTAATGCACCTAACTCATGCTTATTGCACTCTACCATGTGCTGAGCTTAA